GACACCACCCTTAATAATAAAAGGCTAAGCAGTTGTCACGCTTTCATGCGTGATGCCCTTACGCCATCACAAGATGGCTGCAACCTCTGAGCGTGCGCCATGGGGACAGGGCCCCGGTGGCCGCTCTGCGTGGCTTCCACAGGGTCCAGAGGCCTCCACGTGGCCTGGCCCAGGGGCGGGGCCCGGCAGAGGCCTCCGCACAGTGAGGCCTGGGGGTCCCGCAGCTTGGCACTGAGGCAGGACCCCCGGCTCCAGCCTACCTCTTTGGGACAATCCATCAAGGAGCCCCGGATGGGTGGGCGGGGCCTCCCTCCTTGGGGCGATGGACTATGGGGCTCCCACACTGTGACAGGGCACAGGCCAGGCTGGGGGACACACACCCACCGAGTGCAAGAATTTTGTGCACCAGACCTCTAGTACATACTAGTAAAAGGGTTAATTAGATAACATATATAAAAGTTTGGCAAGTATCCATCTGGCTCCTAGCAATTGCTCAATGAATCCAATTCATGAACAAGTATTTACTGAACACCTACTATGGGTCAGCACTGTTCTAGATACTGGGATACAGCTGCACTAATTGTTACATGTAATTCAGGCCTTTATGAAACTTACATTTCACTTGGGGGAGAGACAACTAAAAATACATCATATAATATAATGTGAGGTAAATGTAGTTGTAACAGAGATAAATTAAAAAGGGGAAGGGGAGAAAGTAAGGAGGTGAAGTGTTATTTACACATGGTAGTCAGAAAAAGGTCTCTTGATAAAGTGACATTTGAACAGAAACTGAACTAAGTAAAGAACAGGCCATGTGCAGATGCAACATGTTGCTGCTATCAGGATGACAATAATCACCCCTGTTTATAACAATGCCTTTCATCTTCCACATCTTTACATACTTTGGGAGGCAGTATAGGAGAAATCAGCCAGTGGAGGGTTAGGGTTAGAGTCTTGGGTGCCATTGGCTTTATTACCATGAGAAAGTTAAATTATTCCTCTCTCTCTAGATTGTCTACTTGCCTATACTTCTGAAGATAAGAAAGACTACTTTGGTCATTGTATCCTCCAGTTAGGCATTATGATTATAATTTTACATTTCTATGGATAAGAAAGAAATGGGAAGTCTTAAAAGTTGCTATAAACAGAAATTATAATGAGACAAAAATAGCATTCTTTATGTAGGCTAAAAATGAAGTCTGGCAAGATGGAAATTAGATGTTTTATAGCACATTATATGGTCAAAGACATTAACTTCTTACACAAATTAAATCAAGAAATAGATTCCAATTATACGAGTACAAACGACTTCTCAAAGGAAGATACCTAACAGACAATACGACCATAACAAAATCCATATCACTTTGTTCTTTGCCCGTAATTGAAAATTATCTAACTTTCACAACCTCTGCTTTGTGGTTTTCTTGTAAAAGTGCAACATGATTCTTTAAACCAAGTGCATAACAATATTTACAACAGAGATAATGATTTGCGTATTTCAAATATCAGTACTTTAAATCAGGTTAATAGCTATATAAACTTTAAACTTCCACCTCATAAAACAATCGTATATAGCCCCTTAATCTTCTCTAGCTTTCAGTTTACAGTCATTTTCACAGGTAGTGCTGTAAAAGCATAAGATGATCAGCGCCACAGCTAGTGCTGGGGGTTTGGGAGGAAGAGAATAGCCGGCCCTGGAACAGCTCAGAGAATCTACTCCATTTACCTAGGCTTCTGTCATTAAAAATTTCACACAGTGAGAGATGTAACTTTATTTGAAATTACATATTCCCACTTAAGACAAGATCTGCATTTTTATGTGCCTCTTTTATAGCCTTGGTCTCTCAAATTAGACCTGGGTAAACAAGTAGACAATGCAAATATTTGGCTGGCTTGTGAAAGGAAGTATCAGTATATCTGAAAACCCAGTTGTATATGTCGTTAACCTAACATGGGTAAAAAGTATCTTCCTTACACTGAATTTTATTTCATACTAAGATATACTGGAATTGAAGTTCATACTTTCACATGTCTAATTAAGTATACAAAACTCCTGTCACTAAAGTTCTGGAGAGAATATGTCAAAGTTGTCCCCTAAGTTTATGGTTTGAGTATTTGGTGGTACCATTTACTGAGAAAGGAAGAACAAATTTTGGAGTTAAAGGTGATAAACTCAGTTTTAGGTGAAAAGTTAAAATATATTAGTTTTGGGAAATAAATAAATTCAAATTAGAAATATAAATCTGCAAGTCACTGATGTATAATAGGAAATAAAACCATGAGAATAGATCACCTTACGTAAAGAGTTTTTAAAATTCTGCAAGACTTAGCTGTGTTATTCGCAGTGTTATTTGGTGATGGGAGAGAAAACACTGATAGACTTTTTTTTAATTGAAGAAAAAAATGCGACAACTTGCTCCAGACTAAAGAATTTTCGTCAGGTTTTCTGCAATTAAAATGGAAAAGAGGAGGGAAGAGTAGGGATGGAAAAATACTACCAAAGAATGAGCCAATCTCATAATTCTAAATATTTGCAGGAAGGTAAATGCCTTCGCCACAGAATTAGTGATTAGCAACTATCAAAATCTTCTGTGAGAGGAATTTTTTAAGCTTAGCCTGTGAGTAAAGACTGAATAATAAAATGCAAATACAAATATGGACATTATGTTCTAGACCAGGGATGGGGAACCTTTTTTCTTCCAAGGGCCATTTGGATATTTGTAACATTATTCTTAAGCCATAGAAAATTATCAACTTAAAAACTAGCTGCTTTATTTGGTCAAACATTTTTTTTTTTTATAAATATTTTTTAAGGGGGAAACACATTTTTTTAAATATATTTTATTGATTTTTTACAGAGAGGAAGGGAGAGAGATAGAGAGAGTTAGAAACATTGATCAGCTGCCTCCTGCACATCTCCTATTGGGGATGTGCCCGCAACCCAGGTACATGCCCTTGACCGGAATCGAACCTGGGACCTTTCAGTCCGCAGGCCGACGCTCTATCCACTGAGCCAAACCGGTTTCGGCTTGGTCAAACATTTAATTAAATCATCCCTAATCCTTGGCAGGGCCAGACCAAATCATTTTGCCTGCCTTATGTGGCCCAAGGGCCAGACGTTGCCCATCCCTGTTCTAGACTATCAAAGGAAAGGATAATAATTGTCTTTTTAAATTTTTTTAGCTCAATTTGGATTATACACTAGCATTCTTGGCAATATCACTTAGTTCATAGTAAAAGTTATGCCTACATATATAAAAATCAAATCAGCAAATACTAACCTACCAGTTTTTATGTCTTCCCTATCGTCGACGAAAGGGGCCACATGCTAACCTGACAGGCTCAGAGAAGGCCTGCATGGTAGTCTTGCAAACTCAAAGACCTAAAGTAACCACAAAGGATGGTCTGAAATTAAACTTTAACTAAAAGCAGTTATGGTGGATAGTCTCCTCCTAGGCTGGTATCTTCCCTGTCAAGGTCAACCTTTACCTTAACTGAGCCTATCTGTCTTTTTGTATCTAAGATAACATATCCTTGAAATGTCTGGGTAACTTGTACCTTCCCTTTTTTTCCAGACTCCTTGGGGCACAACCAAATGCACCTAGGTGCCCGGACAGAGACCATAAATTCCTTCATTGTTATTGTTATCATGCTATTGTTGACTGTTCACTATCCTGTATCCACCTGAGTAAAAGAAGTATGTGTCTATCATTTTATTCTTTATCCAATCCCAGAGGTTCCCCCCACCCCACCACTTTGCTTTCTCCCACCTCTCTAATCTATCACCAATGGATCGCATGTAACCCACCTACCCTCTTCCTTTAATTGCAATGTATAAAAATAGATGAAAAACCGCCATTCTCTGGAGCATTATCCCAGTCCGTTGAGAGTCTGGGACCTGGGAGCTCACCTTGAAATGCGTCCTATCCTTCCCATCCAGGAGCTGCCTATTATCATGAGAAGATGAAAAACCTTGTGGCTAAAAGGGAACAATAGAGTCCTGGATGCCCCCTGCCCTTTGCAAACCCCCAGCCCACATTGCCTGTAATTTTTAACTATTCTTATTCCTTTGCCTACGTCCCCATGCCTGCATACCCAATCTTATTCTTTTGCCTACTTCCACATGCAATCTTCGTCCTTCTACCCCATATAGGCAGCTGGCTTATGTCGGGGGTACTGAGCAGATTTTCGTGGATGACCTACTGCTCTCCCATACTGCCGACATATTGGAATAACACTCATACCAGTATATGATTCAACCCTGTCTCTGCTTAATTGGCTCAAGGAGTGACAGGCAGCCCGTACCCATTGGTTGTCTCATTTCACTGTACTTGTAAGGCAGTGGTTCTCAACCTTCCTAATGCCGCGACCCTTTAATACAGTTCCTCATGTTGTGGTGACCCCAATCATAAAATTATTTTCGTTGCTACTTCATACTGTAATTTTGCTACTGTTATGAATCATAATGTAAATATCTGATATGCTATATGTGTTTTTCGATGGTCGCGACCCACAGGTTCAGAACCGCTGTTAAGGGAAGTTATCATTTACTGCCTTTAAGAGGAGCAAAATAGTTTTTAAAATTTCCAATCTCTTATAATATATTGTAAACGTAACAACCAGAATTACAATTCTAATTTACTCATGATTTCTAGAAATTTCTTGGACATCTTAGAATCTTGTATAAACTAAACCTTTGAAAGATTGAACCTTATAAAGTGAAGAAAAATCTTAAGTCTTTCATGAAAAGCTGGGGGTGAGGTGGAGTGGGGGAGCTAGGCCATTTGTAACCTAGCAAACATTGAATAAAGAAGAAACCATTTGAAACAAAACCAAGGAAATTGCTTCAACTGTATTTGCATGAGTAGTAACCACAAAATCCTTTTGTATCCAAACTTCTATTAAAAAATCTAAGAACTTTATTTACTGTGAAAAATTTTAACCGACAAAACATTCCTTATAAAAAGAAAACAAATGTGCATATATATACATATACCTACCTTAACAATAGGATTCAGCAGAACAACACCTGATTTCTTCGTGATGACCTGTTTGGTTGTAAAGTGATGATCTATAAGTTGAGGAATGTTTGAAAAACCAGTGCCTTCAAATCGATACAAACTCTGGGGAAAAAACAATAAAGTAGAATAAATGTAAAGTCATTGTTTCAGCATGACTACATTCACTAATAAGTTACATTTATGAAAAACTATTGTTGTACACTGTTAATACACTTAATACTACTGAAGTACACACTTAACAATGGTTAATAGTAAACTATGTGAGGTAATGGATATGAATTACCTTGATCTTGGTATTCATTCTATAATGTATAATAAATCATTACATTGTACTCTCTAAACACATGATTATATTTGTCAATTATTCCTCTATAAAGTTAAATATACATATGTATATTGTTTCTCCCTTTGTCTTCCTTCAGTCTACTCTTAACACAGAGGCCAGGGGATCCTGTTGTATCATTCCATTACTTTACTCAAAATTCTTACCTCCTTAGAATAAAAGCCAAAGTCTTTACCACAGTCAATGCACTCTATATATTATTCTGTGCTCTATCATCTCTCTTACCTCATCTATTAACACTACCCCATTCTACCATAGCCACACTCATTTCCTTCTTGTTTTATAAATGTACTATATACATTCCTTTCTCGGAACATATACATTTGCTGCTTGAACCAGTTCCTCAGATGGACATATGGGTAATGGCTTCCATACTTAATGTCAGTCTCTCATCAAATGTTACCTTTTCAGTGAGGCCTACTCTGGCCACCCTACACAATATTCAATATCCATTTTCTCATCCCAACTACATTTCTTACCTCCTTTTTCTCACTGAATTTTCCTGCTTAGAATTTATCACTACCTAACATCATGTATATTTTGCTTACTTATTCTGTTTAATTATCTATCCCCTCCTCCTTTAAAAATAGAGCTCATGAGGTTATACATCTTTACATTTATTTTATTCATCACAGTATCCCCGTGGTCTAGAACAGTGCCTGGCATATATTGCCTGGATAAATAAACATGTGTGACTGAATGAAATGCAGTGCATAGAAAATGGCTGTAAGTTAAAGCAAGAAGACAACTTAGAAATGAATACTAGAAAGTTCAATATCAAGTACAATGTTTAATAGAAAGCAATGACATGAAGTTCACACAGAATGAAATTTCAAATCAGACATTAGCATCATAATGCCTTATATAAACTGCTAATATACCTCTTATAACTAGAAAAATAGTGAATAAAATAATGGGACTTTTCAGTTTCCTTTTAAGAGTGTATCTAGTTTTCAATTTAAAGGCAGTTTTCTGCCATTGACATAGTAATTGTGATGTGCCAATACAGTGAGTAATGCAAGCAACAAACAGTACTTCCTTCATGGGCTGAAATAAGAAACTGATCCGTAGCAATTATTTTTTAAAGCAATCACTGAATTAGTGAAGTTCTGAGTCTGAACACAGCGCAAACCAATTAATTCACTTCCTTAAAGATAAAAATAAAGTAATGAATTTAAAAATGATGTTAAGACTGTGTGCTTATTAAGCAACTAAGAGGCCAAGAATAGTACAGACATTAAAAGTCTTGAGGACTTGTTTCTTGATATACTCAAAATTCTGAAAATTGCAATTGACCTTGTGCAGAGGAGTATAAATTTCTTATAGCTCAAATGACCTGAGTTTGGATTCACATACAAATGGGTTTTTCTGCATGCTTTAACAATAACATGATTCAGAGAGTTCAGACTAACTTTTAAGTAAGACTTCTCTTGGGAGCTAAGATTGTTACTAATGATCTCTTATGTGAATTCAAAAAGAAGCAATAAAAAATAATAAATTTCTACAAAGATCATTTTATTGTCAGTGCATGTCTTAAATATCACATAAAATGTCAATTAAAAAATAAGAAGTATGGCCCTGGCCAGTGCCTCACTGGTTAGAGTGTCAGACCCACACACCAAAAGGTTGTGGGTTCAATTCCTAGTCAAGGGCACATACCTGGATTGCAGATTCCACCTCAGGTCCAGTCGAGGTGAGTGGGGAAGGCAACCTATCGATGTGTCTCTTAAACTGATGTTTTTCTGTCTTTCTATCTATCTATCTCTCTCCCCCTTACACTCTCTCTAAAAAGAAATCAGTGCAAAAAATATCCTTGGGTGAGGATTAACCAATATATATATTATATAATTAGAATATATTTTTAAAATCTCAAAGAATATATACTGAACCCATGTGGGGGTGTTATTATAAAGCACATATTCATAATACATATTTCTGAGTTTCTATCCAGAGCACATATTACTTCTGTTTTTAAAACATTTATTACAGCTAGAATTGTTCCTGAGTTATCACTGTGCAACTTAAGAATCAATCACACATATAGATGAAAAATACATATAAATCAGGTTTTGTTGCTATACATATTTCATAATAACAAGGAAGTCAAACAGAACAGAATAAACACACAAAAATGAGAAGGGGATTCAAGGTATGTCTAAGTTGCCTGAGGAGATCCCCTAAAACAAAATCAAGGATAAACAGGCTTAAGGGGAAAAAAATGAAAGGAAAAATAATTTCTGAAAAAGACTAAGATGAATAAGCTGATTAAAAACAAAAGACTACAACACCTTTTTTGGTAAAATACCAAAAAATGTAAGATGTACACTTTGGCTTTCTCAAATAAAAATAGCATGCTGAATAGTTACAAATAGAAACCAGTACACATGGAAGCATTGGGGAATAATATTAATAAGGTTTGGTATGGCTTTTCCCAACTTTTATTCATTTTTCAGATGTGTCTCAAACTTAGCTTTCTTAATTTTCCTAGTTAAAAGTTTTCATAGCACTGTAAGCCTCCTCTCTAGACTGTAAGTAGCGTTCACCATTATATCCCTGGACCCTAAGAATACTCACTCAATTAGTGTTCCCTGGAAATTAACATTAATATGGTTTTGGACACTGACCTATGAACCAGAAGGTCACAGTTCTTTCTGATCAGGGCACATGCCCAGTTTGTGGGCTCAGTCCCCAATAGGGGCTGTGCAAGAGGCAGCTGATCATGATTCTCTCTCATCATTAATGTTTCTAGCTCTCCCTCTCCCTTCATCTCTGAAATATAGCTACTGAATGTGTGTGTGTGTGTGTGTGTGTGTGTATGTGTATGTAGTTTCCTAAGTCATGTATCAAAGAAAATCAGTGTCATTTTGACTTAAATCTACTGCTTGCCTTCTTTTGAGTCCTTGAATGGTTATGGTAGAATGGTTAAATAATCCCATGTGTAACAATGTGATAAGGCCACACACTTGGAATTAACTGTTATCCAAACAAGTTTTGGCTTTCTACTTGCTTTCACTTAATTTTCCATTAGTCCCACAGCATGAATTTAAAGATAGTTCAAAGAGTCTAGAGATTGTGGCAACAAAACAAAGTAAATCTAATGAGTACATTCGGAGACTAAATCTATCAGCTCAAAATGAACTGTAGCTTATGACAGAAATCCAATAATATCTGTTGAATGAATGCTGATTTAATACATTGAGCTATCCAAAATTTCACATAGTAACTACAACCTCTACTTTTGTGTTAATTTTTTTATCGGTCCATATCCCTGGGCCTTACATAGTATTTGCTCAAACAGTATTTCCTGCATGCATGCATGAATGAATGAATGAATAAATGAATCCTATCCTATATAATCAAAGCCTAATATGCTAAGTGTCCAGTCGTCCATTCAACCAAAGTGTAATATGCTAATGATATGCTAAGGCCGCTCAATTGCTCATTATGATGTGCACTGACTACCAGGGGGCAGACGCTCCGGCCAATTGGGACTGAACAAGACAGGCTGGACACTCCCTGGAGACCTCCTGAAGTCCTTCTCCAGATGGCCAACCTCCCGTGTCTCTTATGGGCCCCAATCATGCACTGGTGGGGTCTCTTGGCCTGGCCTGTAACCTCTCACAATCTAGGACCCCTTGGGGGATGTTGGAGAGCTGGTTTCAGCCCGATCCCGCAGGCCAGGCCAAGAGACCCCATTGGTGCACAAATTCGTGCACCAATGAAGGCCTCCAGTGAAGAAATAAAAGATGTTATACCATTACATAGAGGATTATTGCTGTTTTATTTTAAAATATTTATTATGTTATTATTTTAATTTATCACTGCATATTAATTCAAAATTTTGACTCAATCATTTTTCATTTGTATCTTTAATATTTCTCAGTTAATAAGTTCTAGCAATGTCTCACCTACTTAGTTTTAAGCTGAGAAGTAGGTTACACAATTTTTTATTTCATCTCCTTTACAATGCATATATAAATTCCATGCATTTACTTTTTGCGGAAATGAGTGTTTAGTAAATATGTGTCAGATAAAAAAATCAGCACTTTCCTATTATAGCATAAAAATTCTTTCTGGAGTACTTTTGTTTTATCACATGTATTTTCTGTTTTATGTATTTTATTTTTTGTTTATAATATACAAAAGCAAAGATTTGATAAATATATATTTACTTATCAAATAGAACAAAGCTATTTGAATCACTATGAAAATCTATCAACATTTATGACCACAAATAAACAGTTTTAGGTAAAAACTCTAAATATCATCTTACATCAAGCACCATAAATAGGCTAGTAACTATGGAATAGATCAGTAACACTAGAATTACACTTAAATTCAAATACTCTTAGATATGTTTATACATCTGGCTTTGTGAAATTAATAGGGTTGGGCTTTGTGAAATCAATATGTTTGGTTACACTACAAGGTACAGTTCTTCTCGCTTGAACTAGGTAAAACAATAGATAATCTGTGCTAACATAGTGAAAATGTAAAAATGGAAAGTATACATGTCCATCTTATTCAGTCATAATGGCAGTTTCACACCATGTTGAGAAGTAACTGTGACGTGCATTCAAAAATAAAGCTTTAAAATAATTTCTATCCTAGACTTCGATTGACAGAGGCAATATTACTAAAAATAATATTATTCGTGATCAGTGAAGACCTCAAATCTAAATATAGGCCTCAGACATATTGCAGGTTTGATTCCAAATCACCACAAAGTGAGTACATATATAAATTCTAAAACACTTTCTTACTATTTAAATTTCACAAATAAATCTCATAGAAACAAAAAAAATATTAATTAACATTTCCAATTACATTAATATTTCTTACAAAGTAATATTGGTATTTTTTTCTCCACTAGAGTCATCAAACATTAGAAAAATTACCTAATATTTGCATAGCACTCCACACCTTACAAAGTATATATTCACTAATTTGATTCTCATAATCACTGTATAAGCTATTAACTCCATTATTTACCAAAGATAGAGCTTGTAAAGTGAAAAGCTGGAATGGGAACCCAAGTCTTCTAAGTCTGCTTTTTCCACTATTTGATATTTTTACATTCTCTAAAATCTCATAATTTTTATGTCTTCCTCTCTTAGGACACCTATCCCCTCATTTATTTACAGCTTTTATAATTTATTACTAGATTATAAACTCCTTGATTAGAATATGATAGGCAATTGTCAAATATCTGGGAATCTACCCCCAGTTTTATTCAACAGGGATATGAGGAAGGAAATGGCATCATTTTAGCTCACAGAAGATTTACCTATGCATATGAAAAAGAATTTAAAACTCCATAGTCTTCATCACCTTCAAACTCCTATTTTCAACTGATTTGAGAGCTCAATATTATTTCATGATTAGGAACTAAATAAAATTAAACAGTGGAAAAAAAAAAACCCTGAGGCATTTACAGAAATATAAGCACTTTCATCTTTAACAAAGATCTCTGAACATGTCAATGACAAAAGAAAACCAAATAAAATTTACAAATGTGAACTTTAGTAATGTCTTATTTTTAGACTCTATTATGCAGTTCACTTTAGTCACTTAAAAAAATGGCATTAAAGACAAGTTATAATTTGCAAATAGACCTTTTTTGTTTCTAATACTAATTTAAATTCCTACAGTTACATTTAAACTAGAAGTGGTCATAAGAAAAATATTTGTCTTATTTAATGTATAACCTATATGAAAATAATAAGTTTTAAAACTTAGAATACAGAAGGAAACATTATATAAATTATAGTTAGTTTATACTTTACCTATGATTTTTCCTCTACAATTCTTGTACCACTTTATAAATATTGCCAGCATAGTCACAGGTTGTAATAGGAAAGCTTATCTACACCCATTACAAAGGCATATACAAATTATAAAAGAGTTTGACATGAAAATACTACTAGAAGCAGAAAGTCAGTTGTATGAGAGTAAGCAAATAGGATTATCAAGTTGAAGTGTGAATACTAGGCAAAATTAACAATAAGGTGAAAATTATAATACATACAAAAATGTGTACACATATTTCAAATAACTATAAAGGCAGTACTTATTAAAATATAATTCATTTTCAAATTGAGCTATAGGCTGTTAAAATGTGTATACATTTTTTTGGGACACCCTGTATAAATATCTCAATGTATCTATTTTAAGAACCCGTCTGAGATTCATCCAATGATAAAGGTTCAATCTATTGTAAAGTAATTAGTATCTCTCTAGTGCAGTGATGGCGAACCTTTTGAGCTCAGCGTGTCAGCATTTTGAAAAACCCTAACTTAACTCTGGTGCCGTGTCACATATAGAAATTTTTTGATATTTGCAACCATAGTAAAACAAAGACTTATATTTTTGATATTTATTTTATATATTTAAATGCCATTTAACAAAGAAAAATCAACCAAAAAAATGAGTTCATGTGTCACCTCTGACAAGCAAGCGTGTCATAGGTTCACCATCACTGCTCTAGTGACTGGACAAACACTGAAATTCTATAGACTAGAGCTTAAAAACATGTGCCATCTGAAATAATAGAGTGAGAAATGACAAAACAGAGGCAACAATTCTTCATATGCAAAAAACATTAAAATTTTTCAGTGGATAAAGTTAAACAAAATTTTGAGATTACCCTTCATCTGCTTACAGCTTAATAAAGAATGTATAAAACATAGTTTAGCAATGTCTAAATGCAATTTAATAAAAGTATTAGAAGAAGTAATGTTAATAGATCATCCTTTTAATTTTCATCAAACTTTATTTATGGTTTATTAATGGCAACAAGCAATTGCTTATACATAAAGGGAAAAAACTAATCCTAAATGAATCAGAAAATCTGTTCAACTACTATTATCCCACTAATTAAGGAATTTCATTATCATTATTTAATACAATACTACTTTAAAAATTTCTCATTATACCACTTTTGAAAACAATTGCAAGGGCTTGTTTTAGGGGCATAAAATTTATAATTTAAAATCTCCAAGAAAAAAATTTTTTATAATCACATTATTTCTACTTTTAACTTAAAATGTTTTTAATGTTCAAATTTAACTCAAGTATTTTAAATATTTATGCATTTAAATTTAATTCAAATTTTTAACAACTATTTTTAATTTACAATATTTTAAAGTACATATTTCCTTAATAAGATTAACATTTTAGTGAGTTTTGGAACACTATCTTTAAGGAATTCAGCAAAAACAAATTAAGTGCTAAACTCTGTTATAGGCATTTATCAAAAATTATTCATCATTTTATTACCACCATGGACTACATCAGAATATACATATAAACTAAATTAGAAACGTACATCAACATATTGTATGATAAAGTGTCTCCTTTGTCCATCAGAATATACAGAAAGGACATATTCACCAGGTTTCCCATGGCTCTCTCGCACCAAGAAGTCTCCTTGTTGTTTTAACAGATCTTGTGCTTCTATTCTGGGAATTGCACCATGGTACCAATCCTGTTCTGTCAGGGGCTTCTCAATTACGGGCATCGATTCAAACTAAGCAAATATGGGGGGGAAAAAAGAACACTAAATTAGAAAAAATAGCTATTTTTTCCAGTAAAATGTAAATCAATTACAACTACTTCTTACATGTGTTCCTTCCTTTAATTGACCAATGAAAAGTTATACAATGAAAAAATTTTCGTAATTTTTAAAGAAATATCTCATGGGATACTGCTATTGAAGTTTAGCACAAATACATAGCCTTCGTATTTTAAGTTTATTTGTTTTTTTCTGCCTAGCATACATAGCTACGTACAACATCAGCATTTGGAGTTAATAATATAGTTTTCAATGTATCATAAAACAAATCCATATATTTAAAATTTATCAACCAGAGAATTATGAAAAAGGGGGGTTATCAGAGAAATTTATCACAAAACATTTTTATTTAAATTGAGTTATTTCTGTTTATGGAATTAGCTCTCAATTACACAGGCTGTGGGATGTCCATGTCATATGTGACGGGAGTGCTACCTACAGCTTCATATAATGCCGTCCTGCCTCTGTACCTTCCCATTCTTACCCGCATTCCCCTCACTTCCTTAACCATTACCTATGCCACATGGGTGGATGGTCCTGATCCTGTACTGCGATGGTAAATAAAACTTTAGGAGACACATCACTGCCAACCACCAACATGCAATTACAAACGTGGAGGAAACAAGGGAAGAATAGAAGCCATGAGCATGGCAGGAAAAGCAAATTATCCGTTATTTTAGGAGGCCAAATGCTAAGACCAAATATTTCTTTTCCAAGATTTTATCACAGTGCATCTCATAGCAAATACAAAATGTTTACTATAATTGAAATATTTCCAAGTCTTGCCTATGGTAAAAGTGTTTCAAATGTGTACTCTTCTTGGAAGTCTACTTGAGATTTTTAAAGATGTTTTTTTTAACCTCTGAAAAAAATCAATAAAATAAATTCAGTATCAGTTCTTTACAAAGAACTTGCTTTCATCATTATCTCTGAAAAAGGTCCACATAACAGAAAAACATCACAAACAAGGATGTCATGTACTTGATTTCTTGTCTTACTCAACCTATCTTCCTAAATTTGATTTATTTAGAATTGGGAGAATGCAATACCCAGATTATTTATTAAGTAAGATGGGCATTTGAACTACAAAAGCTCAGCTAATACTCTGAGAAACTCATTAAAGGTTATAAAATAAGAAATATATTTGGGGGAAAAATCATCCTCAAAGACCACTGCTGAAGTTTGTTTTTAAAGACGAATGAATAGGAAGGAACTTGTATTGCTATTTCATTGCTGGTTCTCTGGGTTTATTAGCTTCTCTGGGTAGGAAGGGAAGCTCAGGGACCTGTTACTTCCCAGCCCCTACAATACCATTAAGAAATGTAGGCTGAAATTACTGCGCATTTGTGGATGCAGGGAAAGGTCAGACATGTCCCCTGTCTGGTCTATCAGATATTTCGGGGACTTCTCTGAAGCATAAAAAGGAAAATTTTTATTAATATGACTTTAATAAAATTTCAATGTAATTTTGCAGGCTCGATAAAATGTATGATGTAGGATGTATCAGCAACAACATCCTAAAAGCTATCATAATTACTCATTACCTCAAATATCACAACTTTCTAAGCCTCAGTGGAAAAACAATTTTTCCCTCATGATAGGTTACCTAAGTTTTTTGCCAGAGATATAGTGGAGGGGAAGCCTTTCTTTAAAAAAAAATTTTTTTGGTAATTTTTTTAGAGAGAGAGAAAGGGAGAGGGATAGAGAGATAGAAACATCAATCGGCAGCCTCCTGCACGTCCCCTACTGGGGATGGAGCCTGCCACCCAGGTATATCCCCTGAGCAGGAATCGAACATGATCTCCTAGTTCCTAGGTCAACGCTCAACCACTGAGTCATATCAGACATGCTCAGTATTAGTTTAACATGATCTGGGTCACTTGTTTTAATCATTTGAGCAAAAATATCAAATAATATATTTGCTCTCTTATATAGTTTATTTATAGAAAATAAATCCTGATAAGCCTGTCTTCAAAATTACGTGTGATAATGCTAGTGATTCAAAAGTTGCAAGTCTGAGCAGATTATTCAGTCTTCCTAAACATGCCTGATTGTACAGAAGAATTCAGCACGGGTATAGCAACAGTATGATGCAAAAAATAAAAAATTTCTCTGTTGTTTTGTGGTAAATGTTTCCCTCCACGTCCCATGTGGTTCAGGGTTCAGAATCTGAAAGAGGAGCCACGCACAAATGAAAGAGAAGAGACAAGAGATAATTTGGAAATGATGGGAGCCAGGCGGTAAGTCCAACTCTAGAGGAAAGACTTCCACTGGTGCTCAGGCCTCACCAGGCTGTTATTTGGTTCGGGATCCACCCATAGTATAGCCCATAGGCAGGGAGGTTCCAGTGACACAAAGACTTATTCTTACCAATAAGGATTTACATGATTAAAGGTGGGGAGGTTGCTTCAGCTACCATTATCTGGATTAACAGAGGCGGTGCACAGCTCTGACCTTTGCTAGGGCTTCAAAGGTCACAAGCCTTCAGGGTTCTCTGTCTACACCTCTCTGCTAGTGAAGACAATAGTGGTTTCCCACATTGTTTTTCTAAAATGTAGTATCTGGGCAGAAAAAAGGGGGTTGGTTGCAATTTAAGACTTTAAGAATAAAAGAAAACAACTAAGGTTTAAAATATAAACTATTCAACCTGAATTAAATAAATAGCATGCCTTATTAGAGAGGATGAAAAGTTGCTTTGCTAGACTTGAGGGAGAACACTAAAAAACACCAGCAGTTTATTATGCTATACATAAAAAACTACCATGCCCTATGACAACAGTAAAAGCCAAGCACTATAATGCTAACATTATAGCATATGTACAAGTTAAATATAGCTGAATTATAATTATCTAATTTTCTAAAACCAAGCAAATCATATTGAATATATTATTCTATAGTATGGAAGCATATCCTTATTTTCCAATATTTTTACTTCCTAAAATCTTACAAATTTGAAAATTTAAAAAAAATATGCAAATAGAGTGTAGAAAATATGAATTTTAAGAAGAGTTAAGTAATTAAATATTCTTCTGATGTCTAAAACAACAATTATTTGGACCAAAATATGCTTTATTCTAAAATATTTAAATATTTTTAAAATGTTTTAAAGAACATTTGTCAAAGAGTGATGCTATTAGAAGGGTGTTAATATATATAACTAGCACTCACAAGGGGCTGTAAGGTGTAACCCAAAGTTGCTTGCTCAACCACGTATTATAGAACTTCTCCAACAAAAAGATGGCCCTGTAGAAGGACTATATTCTTTGCAGGACTAAAACAGATCTCATTAAAAATAACCTGATTTAAAAGACTTCCAACAGAGCCTTGGCCAGTGTGGCTCAGTGGACTAGAGTATCATCCCATGCACCGAAGGGGCACGGGTTCATTTCCATGCCAGGGCACACATACAGGTTGCATGCTCAACCCCTAGTCAGGAGGCAACTGGTCAATGTTTCTCTCTCTTCCTCTCCCTTTCTCTCTCTCTAACATCAATAAAAACATATCCTAGGGTGAGGATTAAAAAAAAAAGGATTTCCAATGGAAATGGACCCTTATGATTGCCAGTAGGCTTTCAGATTATGCAATTAACCCTATCTAACACCTCTTGCCTTGACTCTAAGAAATAGCTCTCAAAGCAAAATTGTAACTTCCTGCAGCATGGGATGATGCTGTATGTAGAACAGGCCTCAGTACCCAGAGGTACTCACAAGTTATTTAAGATGTTTAGTAAATTGAAAAAAAAGACCATATGCCTAGAACGGATATAACACTGAAATACCACTCTGATCATGACAATAAATATAAAACATCTACCATCAGATACTATATTCAGTTAATGCCAAATTCATCTATCAGCTAATTCCCTGACATTCTTCCTTCCATCAAGACTGCTAATTGAAGTGATCTGTTAGACCCGTGGTCGGCAAACTGTGGCTCACAAGCCACATGCGGCTCTTTGGCCCCTTGAGTGTGGCTCTTCCTAAGCCTTAGGAGTACCCTAATTAAGTTAATAACAATGTACCTACCTATATAGTTTAAGTTTGAAAAATTTGGCTCTCAAAAGAAATTTCAATCGTTGTACTGTTGATATTTGGCTCTGTTGACTAATGAGTTTACCGACCACTGTGTTAGACTGTCCTCAAAACTCTACATTTTAGCCACACTGTTTAGAACACTAAAATAAATAGTGATGACAAGTTCAATGGGAATATTATTATGACAAATTCTACTTTCATGTCCCTAGATGTAAGGCAAGTAATTGCTTTATTTTTATCTAAAATTTCACTTTAAAGTTCCAATCTAAGTATGTTCAATTGAGTAGAGAAATTGTTGTTGCTTTTTTCTAATATTTTAAATTAAATATGCTTCCACATCCAAAAGATTACATTTAGACCTCTGCCTCATACCATATATAAAAATTAATACAGAATGGATCAAAGACCTACATGTAAGGGCTAAAACTACAAAATTCTCAGAAGGAAACAAGGGTAAAAATCTGCATGACCTTGGATTTGCAAGGTTTGTTTATTTTTAATATGACACCAAAAGCATGTGCCAGTAAAGAAAAGTTGATAAACTGAACTTTGTAAAAATTAAAAACATTTATCAAAGGATACTATCAAGTAAGTGAATGATAATCCACAAAATGAGAAAAAGCATTTTCAAAATATATATCTGAAAAGGGACTTCAGTGCAAAATATATAAAGAACTCTATAACTCCACAATAAAAAAGTAACCCACTTTAAAAATGTGCAAAGGAAATAGTCATATCTCCAAAGAACATATACAAGTGGCCAATAAGCATATAAAAAGATGCCCAACATCATTTGTACTCTGAAAAAAGGCAAATAAAAGCTATAATAACATACCACCCCCCAAGGATGCCTACAATTTTTTTTTTAATGGGAAATAAGTATTGATGAGATTGTGGAGAAATTGCTGGTGAGAAAGTAAAATGATGCAATCACTATAGAAAACAGTTTGGCAGTTCCTCAAAAACTTAAACATAGAATTGCCATGTGACCTAGAAATTCCTAGGGATACAATTGAGAGAAATAAAAACATATGTTCACATAAAAGATGACTACAGCATTATTCATAATATTAGCTAAAAAGTGGAAACAACCCAAATATCTATCAGCTGGTGAGTGGATAAAATATATACGTGATAAATCCATACAATGGAACATTATCCTATATAATAAAAGCCTAATATGCTAAGTATCTGGTCCTCCGTTAAACTAATCAAAGCGTAATATGTTAATAATATGCTAAGGCTGCTCAACTGCTCATTATGACACGCACTGACCACAAGGGGACAGACGCTGAACCCAGGAGCTGCCTCCTGGTGGTCAGTGAACTCCCACAGGGGGAGCACCGCTCAGCCAGAAGCCGGGCTCATGGATGGAGAGCCCAGCAGTGGTGGCGGGAGCCTCTCCCGCCTCCACAGCAGCCCTAAGCCGTCAGTTGGGCATCCCTCGAGGGATCCTGGCCTGTGAGAAGGCACAGGCCGGGCTGAGGGACATCCCCTGCCCCGCAGAGTGCACGAATTTTGTGCATCAGGCCTCTAGTTCAGTCATAATAAGGATTAACCTTGAAACTATTATACCAACTGAACAAAACCAAACATGAAAGGTCATATATTATATAATTCTACTTACGTGAAATATACAGAATAGGCAAATCCATGGAGATAAAAAGTAGAGTAGTGAATGCCAGAAAAAGGGAAAGGGGGAGGGGAACTGATACTAATAGGTATGAAGTATCTTACTGGGGACATTGAAGTATTCTGTAAGTAGTGATGATGGTGCACAATGCAGTGAGAAAACTAAGAACTACTAAGTGTACACTTTAAAATGGTGAATTCTACATTGTGTGAAATATATCAGCATAAAATATTTTAAATATGGTTCACTATGCAATGTTGCAAAGTTTTTATAGAGAAAACACATGTATAGTTATTAAAAATGTCCCTTCTATTTTACTTTTACCAAATTAGAATATTCTAAAAAATACTATATTACATCAGAAAAATTTTAAATTATGATTAAGTAGCGCCTTAGATAAATTGTTATACATCTTAGATTATCATGCTTAGCACCTGAAACCTGATACATTCACATTAAGACTTAAGACCTTAGTTACCTATGTATTTGAGGAAAACATCTCCTTCTCTAAATAAGTAGGATACCCAATGCCTTAGAGAAATAGCTGTGTAAATTTATTCATAGTGTAACACAGCGTCATAAGCCAGGCTGCCTCAATCTTTTTAGTTCATGAGATTTCTAATAAATCAGGAAATAATGAAGGGCACTTAACTGATGGAAATAATAACTGCCTTCATCATGAAGACACAAATGTGTGCACTGGATCTTCAGGAAGTGAACAGTCCCAAGAATTCTCAAATTCAGAGGGAACACTTTCTTAGAAGCAACGGACATTTCATGGATTCAAGGATGTTGATAATTTATTTTAAAAACCAGACCACAATGTATGGCTAAATGAAGTACATGTTTTATGGGAAAGGCATTTTCATTCATTTCAGGAAAAGGCAGTTTGTAAACACCAAGGGTTTACCAATATCAATCACTGTCAATTTAGCTATTTTACTTGAAAATAAGGTAAATGGAGAAAATAACATGTAAATACCTTCAGATATTTTAAAACTTATGGTTTATACCATTAATTCATTAAGATTGTGCATAATATACCCAACATACTTTTAGGATAGCATCCCTATATAACTTCATCATAATGAGTTAACTCAATTTCTCTGTTTCTAGATGTAAATTACTATCTTAAAAGACAAAACCTCTTTATCTTCTGTTCAACCCTGATTTACAGCCAAAAGCTGATGTTCCTATAATTATGAACTTCAAAGCAATATACATAATGAGAAGTCTCAGAAGCCACTGTTGCATTCTAGACTTTTTTTGAAAAGAAACATGCAGAGTATTAGCCCATTTCCACAATCATAAATTCTAATTTTTCTGTCACTCGCTAAACTTCTAAAGCTCTAAATTCCAATCTCCTACCTTTACATCTGAGAATCAAGCAGAAGGAAACCCTGAGTTTATAATGGGTCTTGGTTTTCAAGTATTTAAAACATTTTACTCAAGTCTAGCTTGATCTTACAGCACATAAAAAGGAAAATTAGGGGCAGGAGGACACCTTTCATAAATTAGATCACCAATAAACAGCTGGCACAAAGGCCTTTGACCTACGTGAAATAAAGGTGAGTTAATGACAACTTAACTATGCCATTTAGTTCATGGACTTATTAAATAATTTTATGAAAAGCTAACAGTTATTGGAACATTTCTTTTCAAAAATCTATTTTTTTCTTCTTTAAACTTTTTAAATATTTCATCTCAGTAACTTTTTTCTCAAATAAAAATTTTGCAAAACTGTCTTTGGAACTTATCATAAATTATTAATCAAATCTCCTACACTTATTTTGATGTTAAATCACAAATCAAGTCCTAGGAACTACTACCTGTCTATAAAACCGTCAAACAATTACTTAAGAAAATAAGGGTAGGAAATAGGCCTTGAGAGAGACTTACTCTATCATGTTGCTTTTACTTATAATTATTTTTCTTTTCATTTGCTATTTGATGCCATATGAGATGGTCTGCAATAGTTCACAGCTCCCTCCCTATTCCCACAGAACTACTGTGTAAGAAGTGACAATGGCAACATCAAAGGCTGAAATATAAGTAGAACATCTCTTTTATATAAAAATATAATTTTATCCTTTTTTGTTAAAATACCTGCTAACTGACTTACTTTTCATATAAAAGATTATTGTTTGGGGTAAATACATATGGGAACATGTTTCACATATTCAAAAGGAATTACAGCAAACAAATCCAAAATATGAATGGAAATTTAAGTAATCTATGTTTAGGAAATACTTTCTTTTTCTAAATAAGACTAAGTCACATTGTCTTAAAAAGGAAATTATAAAAGGTAAGAAAAAATATTAAGGTATTATTAGGTAGAAACTTAGAGGGATGGGGAAAGCATGTAATTACTTACTCTGAGTATTGTGTTGGCCAGCATTCAATAAGATAAAATTGTAAAGCTCTATTGTCAATAAAGCATGGCTAGAAAAATTAAGTTTTACAGGTAATGAAGTGAAAAATATACTTTGGAGTTTTACTATATAAAGGGGATAAGAATATTTTTTATCTTGTTAGGCTATAGCCACTATTACTAAAGATAACTAATACTCTATGCATCATTGTAATATGCCACACCCAAATTTCAAACAGATTTCAATTTTATAATTAATGTTCTAAAAATTATGAACAGACATAAAAAATGATACATAAAAATGCATATGTAATAATCTGTTTATAAAAATGTTTCACTGGAAAAGAGATCTGTATATACTATTCTTCTAACCAAGTACAAAAGTTCATAAAATGCTTCCTGTAATATTTATTTGTAGTACAGGAAGTCTATAATACAAGTTTATTTCTTTTCTCCCTACATCAATGTGACATAGGGTTTTATTAAATACATGCATGCACAAACTCATATACATACAAAAAGTTAAAATATGTACTTACTTTTCCATTTGTAAGGAAATATATGCATATGATATTCATTGGTATATCAGAAAGAGCTAGACAATGACTATTTTCAGTAGCACATAGAGTTCATCGTACTTACTGTTGAAGAGCCAAATGCAGATTTTGGACCCCTAATTAGTCCAGCAATTGAATGACGAAAAGACTCAAGTTTGGATACCCTCTCCTTCCTTTCCTGGGGAGATTAAAAAAGAAGCCTTCAGCAATAGTAAATATCCAATATACATACAGAGTGATGCTAGATATTAAGGTATTTATCCATAGTCCCTCTACCATGTCTTCCAATTAAATAAAATGTAAATTTCCTAACATTAAAGATGACAAATAACAAAATGCATATAGACTCTATAGAATTTTACTTTCCTGTTCCCTGAATAAATGTCTTGATTGGGGAAAAAGAAAAAGAAAATAGAAATTCATAAGATGAAGGAAAATAAGAAATACAAAGGAAGTTGATGGCAAACCAAATATTAACTGAGGGAGATACAAACTACAAAGAACCAGTCTCACACAGAAGATTTCAGATACCACTGTAGTCGTGAAAAAAAAAAAGGAAATAGTAGGTGAAAAACAGGAGGAGAATTACACAGACACATTTTTAGACAGTGAATTCCACTTAAGTAGCTGGAAAGTTTCCCTAAGATCTACATGATGATGATGACAACAACTACAACAATGATGACAACAGAGGAAGATGAAATAAAATGAGGAGGTAGTGGCAGAACAACCAACAAGACAAATTCATTCAGATTGCTATTTGCCATAGAATGTATACTTCTGAGTATTACACAACACAGTTGAAGGAAACTTTTCTTTAAGATTTCAAATCTGTAAATTCACTCTTACAAATGAAGTGAATAAGGTAAGTGAAAGGGTAGAAGAGAAGAGAAAGAAGAAAAACAAATGAGAAGTAGAAGGTAAAATTAAGAACAATGGAAAGCATATGTGAGCATTTATAATGGAAGCATCAATAATTACTGCATTTCAATTACTACTCAGTAGCAGACAAAAGAACAAGATATACTATTGCCAAGTACTGTATTTCCATGTCTTTCATCCATAGTGCTGCTCAGTGTTACTTGTCAGTGGAAAATAACTACAGCAGGGCACAAATAACATCTTCTGTTACCTAAGTCTCCAATATCTAATGTATGTCTCAGAGACATTTTGGCCATATGCTACCTAACAGACTCAAACTCAAATCTGAAATTCAACTTTTGTCTCCCCATTGACCTACTTTTATTATATTTGCTTTTCATTCTAATAGTTACAATGCTAATAGTTGTTATTATTCTACAAATATATGCATATTAATAATTTAAAATAATTTTAAACCTAACAGAACAGATTTCAACATTTTTTCATCAATATCACCTTTATAACTTGCTGATGATCCTATATAAGTCAATATCTATACCTCAATTCAAACATTTATAAAATGGAAAAAAATAATACAGAACTTCCTCAGAGGGCACTTACAAGTAAATTACTACAAGCAACTAAAAATTAAAATGTTAAAAGTAAGTAAATATTTAATAAAACTCACTTTTAAGAAAGAAATCCTTCCTGGAGTATAGACAGTCATCACCTTAGGAATGTGAGAATGTCCTCTGGAGCCTCAATCCTAGCGGCAGCTTTGGTTTTACCTTCCAGGAAAAACCACTGTAACTGAGCCGCAGGGAATGCTGGAGGAAAGACCGCCTGGAAGTACTAAGGCATGTTCATCTTCAACTTGGGTGTTTAGGGTTTGTATTTTTTAAATCTATATCTGGTGCTTGAGAAATCTTATAAAATAAAAATGTTTGGGAAGGTAAAAACTGATCGCAGGAACAGGCAGGCTGGAGATGAAAGTGGGAAGCAAGGCTTACACAGCAGTTGCTCTGTAATTAGAATTATGAAGAAATCTATGGGGGTGTAAAGATCACATATTGGAGAGTACTACAGTAGCTATGGTTCTTCTACTCCCCAGCCCAGTTTACACTTTTTCTTATTCCTGTGGGGAATCTCTCCCCCTGATTCTGTGTGGCTGCGGTGGTGGCAGTGGTGTTAGGAGTAGCAGTGACACTCCTGTCGATCTTGCTGCTACCACAACTGACAGGGGGATGAAAAGAAAGTGCTACCCTCACCTGCTGGGCAATGAAAGCTTCACAAGAAAGCAGCAGGTTTCACTCTGAGGGGTGCTCTTAAAATAATAGACACAGTAAGGTCCCAATGTATAAATCCCAGGAGAACAGGACTGAAAACTACATGGGAGGTTATGCACAAAAGTAGAAAATTTAGGGAAGAGTTTTAAGTATTAGAAAGCATTTTATCTGTATATGACTTACAAATTCACTGAGATGGTATAAATAATTATACCATGGCCAAGCTATCCATTGGCCATCAAACCCTACGGAAGTAAAGAGAACCATTTCCCCCAAATCCCTTTGATAAAATTGAAACAAAAAAAACCCACATTTTCTAAGAATACAATACTAGATAAGTCTAGTATAGGTCCAGGTGTGGGGTAAAGAAGACTTCAAAAGTGAGTTCCTTTATATTTTATGAAACATAATATATTGTGTGTTCAAAGGGATACAGTTAGTGAAAGTAGCCTTTCATTTAAAGGTACTCTTTAAATCAGTTAGTTTTAAAATGTATTATCAAAAACAGTAAGTCAACCTTGAGTTTTATATAGGAACTAGAGGCCCAGTGCACAAAATTCATGCACAGGGGGCGGCGTTCCCCTCAGCCCAATGTGCACCCTCTCCAATCGGGCACCCCTTGGGGAATGTCCAATTGAACCAGCAGTTGGGCATCCCTCTTGCAATCTGGGACTGCTGGCTCCTAATCACTCACCTGTCTGCCTGAGTGATTGCCCCTAACTGTCTCTGCTTGCCTGTCTGATCACCCCTAACTGCCCTCCCCTGCCAGCCTGATCACCCCTAATCCTCTGCCTCGGCCCCCACCACTATGGCTTTGTTCAGAAGGAAGTCAGACGTCCAGAAGATCAGCCCCCACCTTAGGTTCTGCCTTTGCAGTTCACCCAGATTAGGTTCTGATTGGTCAGTTTCTATGCCAGTCAGCATCAAAAGCTGCCTAGGCAGCCATAGGCTCCTCACAGTTCACCCAGATTTGGTTCTAATTGGTCAGTTTTTATGCCAGTCAGTGTCTCTGAGCCTATCTCCAGGCCTAATCAAAGAGGCGAGACTGAGAGGCCCAGAAAGAGAGGCAAGAGCTGATCAACAGATGCCACAGAGGCTTCAGATCAGACCCTGCCTCTCTCTCCAGGCCTGATCTGCAGCCTTGGCAGTCAGTGCTGCAGCGCCCGAAAACAGTGCCTAATTCTGACTGTAGACCTGCCAGGGCTGGTAATGATACACTTATACCCTCCTCAAATATTGACAACTTAACTTTCTCTAGATTAAGGAGACAGGGATTCATTATGACAAAGGACAGCCCTTCAGAGTTGACATAGTTGGGGGCCAGTGGAGGTGGAAAGGAGAAGCAATGCTATAAAATAATACCTTCTGTTATGAAATAATATTTGGATGCCAAAAAAAATACTATCAGTAGAGCTATAAGTCTATCTTGAAAGAAAAGTTCTAGATGCAGTATCAGTTTCATATCTCATTTAAGAATAATTTTTCATTATTTTAAAATTAAATGAAGGTCTCTCGTTATATTTATCCATCTATAAAACTAAGAGATTATTTCATAATGATTAAAAGTTTGCCTATTACAAGCTTTAAAAGCTCTGTAAGAAACAATACCTAAATTACTTACAGTTACAGTAAAACCATACCTATTCAAGTTTTAAAATTACTATTCACAAAAACTCCCAAAGTGCAGTGAAATAGGCTCTCAGGTTACCTCCATCCCCTGCCCAGTAAAACACAGGCAAAGATATAAAAAGCAAGAATCGAGGTTTTGCTGATTGGAGTGATTTTGAAAGAAAAAAATTAAAAGTTCTTCCAAATGATAGCATATCTAGATGCTGCAGTAAGTTACAAATTAACAACTTTAACCAAAAAACACATAACAGTTCTCAAAGCATGGCTCTTAAGGGAGGCACTAAAGTGGAAAAAATATGGTTCTGATGTCAGATGGGATAAAGTATATGAATTTGGGCAAATTACTTGACTACCCTGGCTCTCAGTTTCCACATAAGTAAACAGGAGGGCAGTGGTCTATATAAAATCTTCACCTTAAAAATTCTGTAACCTCTGTCCAATTCACCAATCAAATGCATTGTATTGCTCATTGAAAAAACTTACGCAGAAGACTTCCATAGGAGAAAAGAGAACCCTTGTGTACTGTTGGTGGGATTGCAAATTGCTGCAACCACTATGGAAAACACTATAGAGGTTCCTCAAAAAGTTAAAAATAGAATTACCACATGACCCAGCAATTCCACTCCTGTGTATTGCCCGGAAATAATCCAAAACACTAATTTGAAAAGATATATGCACCTCTATGTTTATTGCACCATTATTTACAGTAGCCAAGAGATGGAGGCAACCTAAGTATCCCTCAACAGACAACTGGATAAAGAAAATGTGGTACATATATACAATGGAATGTTACTCAGCCATGAAAAAGAATAAAATCTTACCACTTATGACAACACAGACAAATCTAGACAGTATTATGCTAAGTGAAATAAGTCAGACAGAGAAAGACAAATACCATTAAAAGAGATTCACATTCTTGTCCTCATTTTGCAGATTGTGATGGTCAGTTTATAACTGACAAAGCCAGTATTCAAATACAGGTAAATGTGACTTCAAGATTCAAGCCTGCACCTCAGTTCTTTTTTAGTCTCTTTTATATCAGCAACTAAAATTCAGATTAAAAATTTACTTTTGTTTTAAAAAGAAAACCATTCCTTCAAATAATTTTCTACCAATTTTTCTGCTAAAGCAGTACTTATCCTATATAACAAAAGGCTAACATGCAAATAGACTGAACGGCGGAACAACCAGAACAACCGAACAACTGAAATATCGGTTGCTATGATGTGCGCTGAACATGGCGGGCATTTATGCTAAGTGAAATAAGTCAGACAGAGAAAGACAAATACCATATGATTTCACTTTTATGTGGAATCTAAAGAACAAAATAAATGAAACAGACACATAGATGCAGAGAACAAACTGAGGATTGCCAGATGGGAGAGGTGTGGGGTGGGTGGGG